CCCCCCCCCAGCCCCTTCCCTTCCAAAAATAATAAGAAATGCTTTACATGCACTTTGCCACATACGCGTGGACCTTACTCAATATCTTCCCAAGGTAATAAACGAATTTTTAATAGTTTTCAGTTTTAACACGAGTATAACATTAAATCTACAAGTACCGGTTAGGCCAAAAAGTTAAAGACTCGCAAAGACCATAGTTTGGCTACTGTAAATCGCTGCGGTGTACGCAGGCCACAGACCATGATTTAGCTAGGTACACCGCCGCGGTGTACGCAGGCCAAAGTCAATAGTTTCGCTAGGTACACCGCCGCGGTGTACGTAGTGCCGGCCTTGAAAGAAATTATGGTCATGGTTCAATAATGAATAATGAGTTCAATAGCGCGCAAAATATTATTGCCCATAACAAAGTTTTTTGAGTGTCCAAATGACATGAACTGGAAAAAAAAAAATTGTATCCGGAAATTTGATCGACAGAAAGTTTGTCGACGGTAAGTTGATGGACGGTACCCGGTAATTTGATCGAACGGAAATTTGGTAGAATATTTTTTTTTGTTCAGTTTTTACGTTTAAGTTTTGCTTTATCGGTGTTATTCATCGGTGTTAAATTTATTAAATAACAGCTTTACCAACTCAAAGACAGAAAGAGCTTATAACTTATGGCAATTGTTGATCACACCGACAATACTTCTATTTTAAGTGCTGAATGGTTAGATAAGGATGATGTCGATGTTGACTTGTCTTGGTATATCATTTCCGCAAAAAGAAAACGATAAAGCAGTTACTATAGACTATGCCGCTGACTATACCCAACAGGGGCGTCATTTCAGTTTTTTTTTTCAGGGGAAAAAAAAGGGGGGGGGGGGAAACCAAAACTTGGTCGGCTTGTTAAGTTGTTTATTACTGAAGGCGCCACGGTACATAGACTAGCAATTTAAATAAAACCAGCAAAATCGAAAGGGGGTGGCAAATGCCCCCATGCCGTACCCAAATGATGTCCCTGATGCCCATTGTTACGATAGAGCAACACTTGACTACTGAATGGGAAAATAATAGCAGCTATAAATTATACTATAATTGTCAGCTATACTGAAAATAATCATATAGTTATACTTCCACAATAATATTTAGTCTTTAACAAAATTTTAATTGATTCTGCATAATAAAATTTAAGTGTAAAAACTTTTTAACTTGTTGATCAACAAGCTAAACATGTAATAAAATGTTTTTTTCCGACAATTTTGTGTTATTAAAAATACATGAGCACAAATTAAACCGTGTTTATAAATGTATTGATATTATAATTCATTTTTTAGGTTGGGGGGGGTATAAAATGTTGACATAATTAAATAGGGGATCATCGAAAAGTTTGACAGTTGTTAACAAGAGAGGGGGGGGGGGCGAAAATTGCGGCAAAATTGTTGAAGTAATTAATATACGACCCCTAATATTTTCTTTTTTCGGAACATGAAATGTTTTGCGGGCTTTATATAGTTTTCAATATTTTGTTATCATTTCTGAAAATTAGTTTGAAACACATTTTTCCATTAGTTTGAAACACATTTTTCCGAGGGTTAATTGATCGACGGAATTTAGGCCGAACGGAGATTCGATCGAATAGAAATAGAAGTGTTTGGTCTAATAACCAACTTACTTCTTCAGTTTAACTAAAATAAACAACCCCACCCCCTAATGATCGATATGACTTTTTATAAAGGACTAGCGAGTACCCGGCATGCGTTGCAATGCCACTCAAAAGAAATGAAGTGTTCATTTTTTAATTATGTTTTTTGAAGTACTTTTTATATACAAATTATTATAATTTTTTTTTTTACCGTCTAGTACGTACACAAATAGACAGCCACACACAGCTGTCCACGTGAGAAGAATGGATTTTCAAAATTTAGTCCACACACATGTCACTAGTACCGACCCTTAACATTTGAGCACGATTGACAAACAGCATTAGGTCTTTTACATGCTGTCTTTGATTTCACGTTTATCTGCTACATTTACCTTTGGGCTGAACTAATTTAGGGAGTTAATATTACACAGCAGTATCTGCAGACTAAAGGCTTCACTCTTGACAAAGTGATGAATAACCTGGAGGCCTCAAGATTTTTTCTGCACGAGAAGCGCTGTCACTTGGTGGCACATGCTACTGAAAAGGCTCTTTTTAAATCAGACCAATATGGAATTTCGGTGGAGAGAAGATTAAATTATAGGAAGAGAATGGCAGGAGAACAATGAATAGATGATGTACTCTCTCTGCCCGAAGAAAACAGTACCGGTATAGGGATGCTTGAGTGATTTGTTTGCTTGAGTGATTTGCTCTCATTCTGAACCCCATATCAGATCATCAGCGATAAAAGAAGTAGCAGATATGTTTGGGGCTTTTCAACCCAATAGTCTACTATCAGCAAGTGAAGAAAAGTTATTGGTGTCTTTTTCCAAAATCAAAATCTTTATGATGAGTGATCAGAAGATGAACTTTTAAAAGAAAAACCAAGACTCAGAAGATACTAAAGACAGCTGATATTGAATTTAAAAAATTCAAGAACTAGTCAGTATTTGATGTTTTGAAATACATAGTCATAGCTGTATGGGACTTTCAAGAATTTCTTCCAAATACTCTCGCTAAGCCTTCAAATTTTTCTTACGATATATGTGTCTGTGTCTTCGTATAAGCGGAGCTTTTCAAAAATAAGGCTTATCAAGAGTTTTTTTTTTTTTTTACGAACCACCATGGGACAGTCAAGGCTTTCTGGTCTGGCTCTACTATCAATTGAAAGTGATACATACGGTGAAGGATATTGATTTTAATCAAGTGGTTGACAGGCTTGCAACTTGCAGCTTTGAAGATCAGGAAAGGAAACTTTAAATAAATTAAATTTAATGCAAAAATAACTATAACTTTACGTTGTTACAGTTCTACAGTTCTTAACTACATTTACCTCCTGACCTTTAATTAATTTGTTTTGTTCTGGTCATTGTGATATTGTGGACTTATTTTAACAAGAAGAAGTAATCCATCGTGGACAAGGTTTCTTTCAGCTATATCTCCGGGTGGTGGGGGGGGGCACCCCCCCCCCCCGGGAAAGCCAAGGTGCCCCCCCCCGGAGCAAAAAAATGTCCAACAATAAATCAACTGCCCCTGCCCCCCCCCCCCGAAAAATCTGAAAGCCCCCCCCCTCCCCCGGGGGTAGAATTTCTGAAAAATCACTGATCGTGGAAGTCAGGGGAGGATGGTGACACCACCAGTTACCACACCGGGTGACATGAACCCTAACTGTTGTTCGTCAGTCGGAAGTCGACCATGACCACTTCAATCATCCGAGTTTTTACTGGTTCTGTCTGTGGGTGCGCAGATGGCTAATGAGGCCGATTCTGGCACGAAATTCTCTTATGCAGGGGAATGATGGTGCATCTCCGGGAACAGAGTCAGACCGGGCCTTCCTGGCATGTCTCTTGCGCTCTGCAGTTGCTGTTCTGCCAACTTCATGT